CATAATGTTCCCGCAAATTACCTGTATCTTTAGACCGTTGAGATAGACTAATGAACGTTCTGGGACTATAGTTTATTTGAAAATGCATGATAGCACAGTTTCTATGGCAAATGCCTATATACAGGATCGTTCAAAGCAGAACAAAGTAAATATTGATACCTTATCTGTATTTTCACTAGATTTTAGTATGACCACCCCGAAAAACCTCGAATACAATACATCATAAAATGCAAATAAGCAAACCCTAAGGGATTAATGTGAATAATGATTGATGAATTACAGATTTAATCCCGTAGAAATATCATGTCAAGACAGAAATGTCTGTTTGGCAGATATAATTTACTAATTTGTCTTAAAATAATTTATGTACTATTATTATTTAAAATAGTTATCATCACAGTATTGTTCGTTAGGTTTGTTCCTTTCAATTACGGGAAATCGTAGGTTTTGTATTTGTTTGAATTATTATATTTCATATTTATTTATCATACTATTTTAGGAATTTGACTATAATTCACTTTATGCAATTGGACATATTGTGTAGCCAATAAAGAATTTTTCTTAAATTTGGCGTACTCATTTGTCCTCCAATAAACTGGATTAATTATTTGGAATTCCTAACAACCAATAATTCTATACATCAGTGACGGGGAGCACGAAATTACTTTAATATAAAAAATAGTAAACTGTCAATATTAAGTACCCACATTTATTTTTATAAAAATATTATACTAGATATTAGGTTAGGACATTTTCTTAAAATTTGATAATAAATATACACACAACCAAATTTATATTATGACGTTTATTTAAAGTTTATTTTTTTGTATTTTTCTTTAGATTTTTGGGGTAATAGAGATTGTACTGTTGCATTAACCTGTTCCAAAATATCCGGTGGTGTATTATTTATATCTTCAAATTCGCTTGAATCACTCATTTTTTTAAATATTATTTTATATTTTGTAGATATATTATAGCGTAACACACTTTTGAAACTGATATGTCAATCGACCATAGCATGCTATAATATTTCTGTCTTAAATTCGAAAATCGGATGAATCTATGAATTGAAGTCAAATTATTAATGTAAAAATCGTTAAATTAAAATAACAATTTACTGATTTTTACTATTTTGCAAAATACAGGGTATTCTATAAATAAACGGTAAAATTTATACTTATATAATAGAATATAATTTAGGTCGTCAATGCCGTATAAGCTATTTCATTTATGACATACCATGACGTCACTTTTACTTTTCCTCCCTAGGGAGTAAAAGTATTTTTCCTCCCTAGTGAGGAAAACTACGACTTTGCTCCCTTCAATGAGGCCAGGAAATGTATACTTTGGATAGAGGTAGGCGGAAAACTTATTATTATAATTAGAGTTACATACCTAAATAAATAAGTCATCATCATCAGTTTCCTCACTTCCCACAGAAATAATAATATATCAAGTTTACAGAATTTCTGTTCCTCTGCTATTACATGTCTTATAGCGTTTTGCCAATTGTCCGGTGATTTTTTTGATATGGAGTCACATAATAGTTGAACAAATATCTTGAAGTTTAAATGTTGTATTGTTTCTCGCGACATATCCCTTTATTTGAGCTCAGATTAGTTCAATGGGGTTAAGTTCAAGGTGATAAGGTGGTAACCGCAACACTTTAACTACATGTTCTTTTCCTATTTCATCTATACTATACTTCTTAAATTTTGGAAAATATTGTTTACATAATTGCAATAGCTCTATTTTGAGTAATTCCTCGTCTGCCACTATTTCCTTGGTTACTAGCCAATTTTTTGCTCTTTAAGTGTTAGATAACTGTTCCTATAATCTTAAATGGTAACTGGCATTGTCCATAACTATTACAGAATTGGTCGGTAATAAATCTATCATTTGACTGAAATATTCCTCAAAAACATTAGCAGTCATTTCTTCATGATAGTCTTTGGTAGAATTTAAAACAAATTCTAATAAGCCTCTATCAACAAATCCTTTATCTCCTCCAATATTAGTGATAATTAAACAGCAACCTTTACCATTTGGAAATTTTAAGCCAGTAGACAAACCTTCTATAAATGCCTGACGAGCATTTGTAACCTGTTTATCTTGCCAAACTTTTTTTACAAAATGTCCATTTATCCATGTTCCATCCAAATAAAAAATATTTTTGTCTTCTCTTCTTAATTTTCTAATTTCCCTTAAATATTGCCTCCTCCAACAAATAATTTCATCTTTCTCTATGAGCGCAGATTTTCTATGATTCTTGTCTCAAACGAAGTCTAATTCATGTAAAGTTTTCCACAATTTCTCTTTTAACGTTTGGCAAAGTGTCATTTCCATTAATGTCTACTAAAAGTTTATCCAAAGCAGGTATCTTTTTTGTAAATAAAACGAATGTACTTTTCTCCAGTTCAGTTGTTTCATAGTACCCTCTATTTGAATGTGGTTTCTCCCAGTTGACGTTTTAGGTGCTACTGTGATACTTCCATCCTTTCGTTGCTTCAAAAGTCTATAAATGGTTGCTTCTCCAACTCCGATCATATTTGAACACTTAGAAACTATACTCCGAACAGTACTATTGAAATGTTCATGTACAAGAGCGTCATGTACATTTAACACTAAAGTTTTCATATAATTAGACGTTTGTGCCATTTTTATTGCACAAATTCACTTGATCAATATTGCTTTTAATCGCCTATTATTACAGAACTAACAATTGAAGGGCTCGGTGCAAAAACCGGTCAAGTCCACTTTTGTAAAATGTTCAGAAATTGACAAAAACTTTATCAGAAGAAGAAACACATGATTTAGTTTTGGGAGTCTTAGTTTTTAGATAGAAGAGGTCAGCAGCTAATATTTATTTAAGAAAATAAGGTGTTTTTTGAAAAAGGTGTTTCATGAAAAAAAAAACAAGATGGTGGTGATGTCCGTTTCTTGCACATAGAAAAAACCAAAAAAAACATTATTTAATTCAAAAGACAACCTGTTTATTAAAAGAAATACTATAATGTATGAATGTATGACAACATTTTTATCAAAAAACAAACAATGTAAGTGAGAAAACGTCAAAACATATTTGGTAAAAATTGCGAAAGCCTACTTAAAATATTTTAAAATATTTCGGTTTCAACTTCTTGATCGCTGTCGTCTGTGTTTTCTTGATTTGATTGCTGCGTACTATTAGCACTTCGTACTTGCTCATAATACCACATATGTACAGGTGGTACATATTTATCAGCAAGGGACATCACATTCTCTACTTTTTTAGGATTAATGCTCAAAGGAAAAGACTCGTAAAATTTAGTTTTTGGCAATGCTAATATGGTATTGGGTTTTTTGATAGCAAATGACGAAAAAACTGCGAAACCAGCTGTCTCACTACACTCGATAACATTCTTCTTTTCGTATCTAAATAAACGGTATTTGGAAATACGAAATTTTTCATTTAACCGATTGCTTATTGTCTTTTTAAAGATTGGTTTGAATGTACCTGTAAAATTAAGAACCATATCTTGTTTCACTTCGATTACACGGAATTTTTTAAGGTCTTATTAACTAAATTTATCCAATCATATGGCAAGTAAACAATCTCTTTCTTCCTCTTTTCCTTTTCAATAAGACCGAAGCAACGGTCGCACGGTAGAAAACTGTGACCCGGTTCTGGAAACTGATGGATAATCTGGCGAATACGTGAACCCGAAATGTTCATGAAAGTGTGCAAATATTGAACTAAAGTATGATTTTTATTTTGTGCAAAACAGTTGTCCGAAAATAAGTAGAGCGTGGTTACATCTTCAGAAACATAATTAGTTATGTAATGATGTAAAAAACTGACGACTTCATTGCATCCTTTTTTCGCCGTCATTTCATCATACATGTAGAAAGTAGCTAGTTTTGTTTTAGAGGAATGAATACAGAAGTTGTACTCCCACAAATGTCGTTTGTAAAATACGTCACCCGATGGAATATAGGGCAGAGGTAGATTCTGCTGATAGTCAAAACATAAAACGTCGACTCCTCCACCTTTTGTAAGTTCTGTAGCTTCTTTCAACTTTTTTGTAAAACACTTCTGCTTTTTGTATGTGCAAACGTTTGTCACCCTCCAGAATAACTTTTCTTTCTGCATCGTTTTCTGCAGCTATTATGTTAGTAAGATGGTCGCACTTCTGACAGGTATCAGATCGGGGTGGCCAAAACTAAGGTTGTGATTAAGATTAAATTTCCGATTGTAGAAGTCGTATCTAACTTTCGGATTTATATCTTTGTATTCTTTACCATCTTCCAGTAGCTGATGTTGTTCTAACTCAAATTTTTCGAGGTAAAGTCCATACATTTTAAATATATTTAATTATTATTAATTGACGTTATATCCTTAAAAAAATTTTAAACTGTTTTTGCTTGTAAAAACTATTTTGTGTTGTTTAGTTAATAATAGTCTTACATGTGTTTTAATTAATTTATTCAAACAGACATCTCGCGGTTTAACCTAACCTACAATATTTTTAAAAAATACTCTTGTATTACATATGACTTTTTTAACTCGTTTTGTTAAACTTTATGTAGCGCTTCCTTTATGGAAATAGTCAAGGTGAGTCAAGGTTGTTGTTTAACTTCTTTTGTGTTTTTTCTGTTATTTTGTATATGTTAAAGTCCGTTCATGCTTTTATAATTGTTTTTTATTACAACTGACTCCTTGACATTCCATTTAGGTGTGCCTGATGATGAAGTGACAGCTTCGAAACCGGTCGCCAATTAAATTGACTTGTGAGGAATAAAGGACCTTTTCTTTAACCCCTTACACTTAATTTTAATTATGTATGTTATTTTGAAGTTTTTGAAAAAAGTTGTTTCTGTATCCACTTAGGATTCACTCGAATAATATAGTAATAGAGCTAGCTCACTATAAAAAATGGCATGCATGTACTGTTAATATTTTAATGACTGAATCTGAATAACCCCTGAATTATTATTGACATCAACTTCCATATACTAACCTCCATTTTTATGCAAACGATAATATCTATACAGATTAATACAAATGATGTATAAAAACAGAAAGAGTAATCTAAAATTGGTCTGCCATCGCTCAAAAGGTCAGTAACAAATCCTGAAATTACAGAAAATATGCCCCATCCTAAGGCGCCGAAGAGTCTTTGTTGGCCATATTTACTTGGATTATCTTCTAAAAATAAACACAATTTCATAATTTTTTAAGTGAGCTACAACATACATATGCAAGGTGAATCAAAATACTTTTAGGGGTGATAGAAGTAACGCCTAAAAATAAGTACATAGTGTTTGTGTAGTGGACATTTTATCTCAAAAACCGCCTATTGATGATGCAACAAGTTGATTTGAACATTAAGAGAGAGTAAATTAGTAGAAATATTTTTTGAAAACATAATTTACCATCGTTTGAAATTCTGTAAGAAGCAAAGCAAGTACGCACATAAATAATTATTCAGGGCTAGGTTTATATTTAAAATTTCGACTCACCTAATAAATCAAAACAAACGGCATCAGCTAAAGAAGTAACAGTCCCATAACCTATATTAAAACATACCATTACAGTAAAAAATAACCAATACCAGTATTTTGTATTAATATGTTCTGTGCCTATCTCGGGATAATAAATATAATTATTGAAGTGTTCATTATAAATTTGATAAGAAGTTCCATTTGTTTCACTGCACAAAAAAACTGTACTGTTTTCATCTATAATTTGTTTTATTGGGACTTTTAAAAAGTCATAGCTAGCCACGATCTTCTCTGTCAAAAATGTTCCTATAAATTCACTTGTATCCATGTTGTTCTCATCTCTAAGCTAAAAGATGAATATTTTTAATTTTCTGGATTATGTAGTAAGTAATGTTTTGGATTTTGTTAAAACAAATGAAGAAATCAACCTTCTTCGTCTAATTGTACATAGGGTTATTTTTAACACTTGTATGTTGTTTGATGTGATGTCGGTAAAATTGCTGCAGAAACACTAGAATGTGATACTATTACACTGGGCTAAAAAAAGAGTATAAATAAAGCACGCCATGTCTGCGCCAGGCCTGGACCGTGGCTTGGCCAACAACGCAACGGGCCAAGCATAGACCATGGGCCAAGTGCTGTACGGTGCTGTTAGTCTACCGCGCGAAGGAAATTAACGTACATCCTTCGATCCTATTTATCGACTGGGTTTTTTGGTATTAGTTATATGAATGATACGTTGACAATAGAGAAGAACATATTCGAAGACGTAAATGTGCAAAACCGGCGAAAATAGTATAATAATGCCATATTCTCATCCTGGCATTGAATGACAAGTGTTATACCGGTTTCGCCATAGGGGGACTGTTCAGATTGAGAATCCATCACAAACTTCCCCTTATAAAAAAGTAGGTTTCATTTTATTTCCTATCGCTATCTGTATCTGTAACGTGTGGAGGGTAGGTTACCCCAACAGCACTTAGGCCTCATTAGACCCATTGTGTATCCTCCTGAGATGATAGGCACCTCCTAGCTCGTGAGCCAGCCTACAGATTTAATGTAGTTGGCAACGTGGCCAAGAGGTGCTTCTCTTATATCGGCCGGTGTTAGCCGATACTGGCCGAACACAAATCTTCTAATAAATCTAATAAATCGTAAAGGATATGCTCGAAGTCTCATCTTTTTGTTCGCACCCTCTGCAGAGTGCCGATTCTGAGAGCCCCATGATATGGAGATGCTTTAGTACTTGGCAATGACCAGCCAAAATGCCTGTGACTAGACGCAGATTCTGTCTAGTCATTTGTTTGCTGCAGTGTTGTCAGGATAACTTAAAAGCTCCCTAGCAACTCTGCAGTTTCTTGTTTTATTCCATCTTTCCTTGAACTTCACAAGGAAATGTTCTTGATTAGGTCTGCCACTACCGATTTAGTCAGGCCAATGGAAGGACAAGGTCCAAAAAGTATTGGGTTGGTTGGTTTCTTGGCTAGTGAATCAGAAAGACGGTTAGGGGAGAGCGGGGCAAGATGGGGGGGCCATGAGGCAAGATGGGGTACCCCCTCTATCTATCCTCTTGTACCTTATTTGTAAATGAGAACTACAGAAAACGATACCTTGGCATGTTCCTTCTTACTCCTGAAACTTTGAAGTCAATCGGATAGATGGCGCTAACTTGAGAAAATTTTAGCGTGAAAATTTGACGTTTTACACTTGTGCTTACATGATTAAGTTGTTATTTGGAGGTCGGTGGTGTCGAAAGTTTTTAGATTTTTTTTTGTGCTAGTTTTTTAAATTAAAAAGGAATGTATTAAGATTAATTTTCAATAAACAATATTTATCTGGAACTAATTATTCTCTATATTTTTAAGCAAAAAGTTAAAAGAGTAATTTGGGATAAGACGGGGACAAACACACGGGGCAAGATGGGGACGTCCCCATCTTGCCCCGCATGTGATGGCCTGGTTTAGATAAATAAAAAATCCAACTCGCTATGATAGCAGGTGTTATTTCGCTGGCGTGTTGTTGTTTTGCGTTAATAAGAATAAATGAATCTATGGCCCTTTTGTTGAAATATTTTGTTTTACGTCTTAATCAATAGAAGTTTTCTATTTTAGCTATGGTAAGAACATACAAGCGGAAAACCCAGAGGGGCTGTTGGAATCAGGGAGCTATGAAACTAGCAATAGAAACAGTTTGCAATAAACAAATGGGATGCAGAAAAGCAGCTAAACAATTTGATGTCCCTCAAACAACACTAGAGCGCCGAGTGAAAGAGCAAAAGGGAAATCAAAATCAAGAAGAACAGACCGTTTTAAAGAGATTGGGACCATTTCAGACTATTTTCTCAAAAGAACAGGACGGTGAGATGGTTGATTATTTAAAGAAAATGGAAGAGCAATTATTTGGGTTAACACCGTACGACCTATGCCATGCTGCTTTTCGTTTGGCCGAAATGAACCAGACACCTAACAATTTTAACAAGCAAACTCGGCTCGCAGGGAGAGATTGGTTAACTCAGTTTTTGCGACGACACGCCGATCTTTCTTTAAGAAAACCGGAAGCAACAAGTGCAGCACGGGCAATTGGGTTTAACAAAGTCGCTGTTTTCCAATTTTTTGACCTTCTTGGGGCCACCTTAGAAAAATATAAGTTAACACCTGACAGGATTTATAACGCTGACGAAACTGGCGTTACAATTGTGCCCAAGACGCAGTCAAAAATCATTTCGTTTAAGGGAAGAAGGCAGGTTGGAATATTGACATCGGCAGAAAGGGGAAACACTATAACAGCTGAGGTGTGTTTCAGTACTACAGGACATTACCTGATACCACTTTTGGTTTACCCCAGAAAAAGGGTAAATCCAGACTTATTGAATGGATCTTCGCTGCCACTTCAAGCTGATAATTATCCTACCAGATGGATGTAAAGCGATATCTTTTTCAAATGGTTTAAGGGATTTGTTGTGCAATCTGGAGCCACCCCTGAAAACCCAGTTCTTCTTTTACTCGATGGGCATTTCACGCATACCAAAAATTTAGAATTAATCAATTATGCCAGAGATCATAGTGTAATTTTACTTAGCTTTCCGCCGCATTGTACTCACAGGCTTCAAGCGCTAGATGTGTCATTTATGAATCCTTTGAGCAAATACTACACTCAAGAAATTAACAACTGGTTGAGATGCCATCCAGGACGTGTGGTGACACAATTCAATGTTGCTGAGTTGTTTGGGAACGCTTTTATAAAAGCGGCAACCATGTCTACTGCTGTGAATGGGTTTAGGGCAACCGGAATTTGGCCTTTTAACCCCCAGATTTTTTCTGATGCTAACTTTGCGTCTGCAGATATAACCAATGTTCCAGAAAAAGTACATGTTACAGCAGAAATGGAAGTTAAAAAGCCAAATGATATTTCAGTTAAAAACAACGTAACTGAAAAAGACATAACAAATCCCCTAGAAGCTACCGCTGCAGCTGCAAATATGGTTTCAAACCCAGCCTATGAAGGGATGAAACAACCTATTGCTGAAAATTAAGGTCTAGAAGAACCTATTGCTGGACCGTCTTGGGAACTAGAAGTAACACCTCCAAAAAAGAATGACAGACCTCTCTCATCCAAAAGTTCTTTTGATAAGTTTTCTGTAACCGATGTTCTGCCAGTTCCTCACGTAGGACACACCAAGAAACGACAGACTAAGAGAAAAAAAAATAAAGCTACAGTTTTAACATCAACTCCCTACAAAAAAGAACTGGAGGAGCAACTTTCAGCTTCAGTCAAAACAGTGACGAAAAAGACTCCTAAGACTAAATCAAAAACTAAGAAGGTAGCAGCAGCCAAAAAATGTGTAAAGAATATTTTTGCAAGCAAAGCAACCAAACGACGTAAAGCTGAATTATCAAGCGATTCGGAAGATCAAGAAGAAAATGGTGACGAAACTTACTTACTGTTTTTACTGCGACTACCCATATTCCGAATCAACAGAAGGTTTTGTTCAATGTATTACATGTAAGAGATGGGCTCACTGCTCATGCGTTGGGTAGGACGACGATGACGATGAAGTTAGGCATATTTGTGATTTATGCAAAGAATAGAATATAAAACATCCGCTATATCAAAGCTACCCCGTCTTGCCTAGTAGGTTGTTTCGTCTTGCCCCACTGGTGGGGCAAGATGGTGTAAAGCGTACTTTTTTATTTTTATTTATTTTTTAGTATTTATGTTTTTATTTCATACATTTTAAATGTATTTTATAATAGAATAAACTTCAAAGTTTACGATGAGATTTTTATTTTTGTTACTTTCAAATAAATTCACCTCAAAAGCTAGACTTAACCTTAGCGTCCCCGTCTTGCCCCATTCTTCCCTACCTTTCGATGTGGAGTGACCTCTGATTCATCTTAAGGTGACCACATTGTTGATGGATACTTCGGCCAAAGCTTCGTGACATACCAGTACTAACCCTGAGTAAATTCTTGGTCTGTTCAGGGTGAGTAGTGCTTGTCTGCTATATGTACAGATGATCATGTTCCTTCCAGTGATATTGTTTCTGGTAATTTCTTTTGCTGCTATGAGAATCCCCGTTAGCTCTGTTTGAACTACACTGGCACTATTGCTCACAGCCCATTTTATGTTTAGGTTTAAGAATCTGGAGTATATTCCACATCCTGAGCCTTGTTTTGTTTTAGAAGCGTCGGTGTAGATATAAATTGTACTTGCCACTTCCGGCTCTTCTATTTGTTTTATTATAACTTTATATGGCGTTTGGAAGATATATTTCGTTGAGATGGAGTCCATGTTCGCTTGAAGCAGTGGGATCGTATCGAGTGCCTCCTGCCAAAAGCGACGTCTCGCCTCACCAGATCCTATATCAGGTTCTATTCCAACCATGCGGAGGCGTGTCATTGTCGTCAGAGCAACCTCCTTGATGTAAATATCAAGGGGAGTGAGACTAAGAATGACTTCCATGGCTCTGGTCGGTGTTGTTTTCATGGCTCCTGTTATGTTGAGACATACTGTTATTTTTATTTGTTCTAGTTACGGATAGCTGTTAATTTTTGGGTTTTCGGTACCAAGACAACTGCACCATATGTTAGCATAGGTCTTATGATAGCTATCTGACCTGACGGTGTATTTTCGCTAGCATAAGAAATTTACGATTCTGAGAATATTTCGAGAATTGATTCTTTGCATAGTTTACATAGTCATACAGTATATCGATGGGTATGAAACTACGAAAGGTACTACTTGATAGGTTGTATCAGACATATTTCTCTTGATAAGTGTTCGCTGATAATCCAACCCAATCCAATCCATCCTAATCCCACCCAATTTAATCCAATTCAACTCAGTCCAACTTATTCCAACCCAACCCAATTTCATATTATTTTTCCTCCAGACCCTGCAGACCTGCGCAATACTCATTCGATATACTAACTGTAAAATACCCAACAAGGAAAAAAGCATGTGAAAACTCAAATAAATCAGTACTAAATCAAAACTACATAAATCTTAAAATAAAACAAAATATAGAAATACACAAAAAATAAAAAAATAGACTTGCTCTGTTACTGCTGTGAAAAGTCATATAATTTATTACAGAAGAAACTAGTTATCACTTACCTTTATAATCTCAAATTCTTTATGCGTTTTGTATCTATTTAAGGTACAATTATTTATAACTTTTTCTGGTATCTGTAATACTGCAGTTTGATCAGATGAACATAATAAGTTCACAGAAGCATGCTTAACATCTAAAGCTGGAATGAAAAGTATACCCATAGAAGATACCAAAAGTAGTATTTGCGAACCAATAAATAATTCTCTTTGACGATTAAACTTATCTGCTGCCATTCCCAATAAAGGTCTAAATATTATCGACATTATAGGCATAACTGTAAAAAGGAAGCCAACAACTACACTGGAAAATCCCAATTGTCGCGCATATGAGCTTAAGTGAGGTTGAATTGTGGATAGACCTAAAACAAAGAATTTTTGTAATTATTTTTGACTCATAATAACTTTCATATTTCTAATAGAAAATATACAAAAGCAAATATTCGGATTTTATTAATTACCCAAATCTGCACAGACTGGCAGCTTGTCGCGACTACTGCAAATGGTATGTAATATTAAAAAATTAAGTTATATCTGGGGTGTCGTTCATACTTCTGGTTTGGAATGAGCGGTTTTTAAAAACAGTATATATGTTCTAACTTAGTAATAAATTTGTAAACTCTAAAAGTTAATATTTAGGACAACTTAAAAAAAATCAACAGAAAGCAGGCAATTCTTTATTTATTTAAATTTTTTTCCTTTTCCCGTATATGATATCCGAAGTTTATTATATTTTTGTTACTGTGATGTTGTACCTTATAACTATATACAGGGTATACTGTAAAATAGCTACAATTATTGAACCAACTTTTTGTATATTAATCAAGTGTCATTTACACACACTTGTATAACCACATGTAAATAATTCATTTATAATCATTATTTTAGGTTTGTTTTCCAAAAAGGTTGGTATTGTATTTTGGTAGTCACAAATATTTTGGAGTGTCAAACCGTCACTTTTAATATTTAAATAAGAATAATTTCTTGACCGTAGCAAAATTTTATATACATACATATATATATATATATATATATATATATATATATATATATATATATATATATATATATATATATATATATATATATATATATATATATATATAAATTTCCTTGGATTATTCGGTCGTTTTCATTTTCTATTGTTTAGCACAGCACTACATATGTTTCGGAAAACTTTTCCATCTTCGGGTACAGTCACAATTTAATAAAACAGGGGGACGATTACAAACAATTTCATTTTTTTTTTAAATAACTTGTATAAGAAAAATTCAAATAACTGTTATTTAAAAAAAAATATTTTTTTTTAAATTGTTCGTAATCGTTCTTGGATTATTGGTCGTTTTTATTTTCTATTGTTTAGCACAGCACTACATATGTTTCGGAAAACTTTTCCATCTTCGGGTGCCGTCAAAATTTAATAAAACAGAGGCCCAGACAGCAAACCAAATCCTTTGGATATCTACTGAACATCCCAATATCTACTGAATGTCCAGTCCATGGTGGATATCTATTTTATATCCATGAGATGTAATTTATAGACATGCAAATGTCCATAAATTATAGTAATTCCATCAGAAATTATTAAAAAATTACGTCATTATGGCTAATAGTACCATTTAGATATTTCAAATAATTTTTTTTTAAATGTATTTAATATCCCATGGATATCCACTATCCACTAAATATATCAAAGTCTAGGCGCGAACGCAAACCATGGTGGATATCCACTGGATGTAATTTACGGATATAATATGTACATAAACTATACAAATTGATTTAATAATTATTAAATTATTTAAAAATTACGCCATGTGATAACTAAGAAAGTATGTAGGCATAGTTTATAGGAATTAAAAATTAGTAAGTTGTATTCAATATCTCACAGATATCCACTAGATAAAGAATATTGACAATGAACGCGAGCGCAGGTGCGGATATTTCCTGCCCTCACAGGTGCCATCGGCTAGGGATGCGCAAATTTTTTAAAACATTGATGTTGACATCAAATGATACATCGAATACAGACTATCGATATTGTAAAAAAAATCGGAAAAGAAAATATCGATTTTTCTAAATATCGATGTTTGTTTTTCCATACATCGATGTGTCTGTAAACATCGATGTTTTCCAAAAGCATTCATTGAAGAGCAAAAAAAGAAAAAAGGAATTCAACCATCAATTGAAACGTGACGCTTAACAAAAAACCAAAAAACATTGAAAAGAAAATCATCGATGTTAATTGAAAAATCGATGTTAACAAATAACGTCGAAATAAAAAACATCGATGTTTAAAAAACATCGATACATCGTGCGCATCCCTACTATCGGTGGCATGGCTATTTTACAGTTTGTTTGTGTCGTGTGAATACCGTGAATAAGTTTTATTTGATAAGTGTGGATTAAAAGAAGGTAAGTTGGCTTTAGAATCTAAATTTATTAGTGTAAAACGTTGATAGACTTTAGTTTAATAAGACAATAGTTAAATTCACGTTATTAAGATTATTAAGTAGGTTGTATGATACAATTTACGTTAAAATCCGTGTCCTTTTTAGGTTATTCACTAGAAATTCATGTCGTTTTTACGATACCCCTACCTTCATATACCTACTTATTTCGTGTCATTTAGGTATTGTATTATCGTTGGTGATACGGTTTGGTTTTTATTGTTTAATGGTTGTTACAATTAATTAGAAACAGGTATTTTTTTTCACTGGTTGAGGTAATCTTATTACATCTGCCTTGTATTCAATAGCATGCTTTTCAGTGTTGCCACCAGCCGATGAAGAAATTATCGTGCTGTGCTGCCAAAATTATCGATTTTTCTTGAAAATTATGTTACAATTTTCTTTATTTTGTTGTTTTGGAAACAACACGTCATGCTTATTTTAATATAATACATAATAACACAAAAACTTAAATGTAGACCAAAATTATTTGGTATCAAAATGAATATCAACATTTCCATCTTCTTCGTGTTCATATTATGTTTAGATTTTAGATAAATATATATATATATATATATATATATATATATATATATATATATATATATATATATATAAGTATAATATACAGTATGTCCCCCTAAGTTGGAATCATATGGAAAACTTTTTTATTATTAATTTTAGGAAAAAAAGTTATTCTTCATAAAAAGTTCTGCATTATCTAAAACCTAGAATACATTCATCAAATATCAAATTTTTTCAGTGGTACACGAGGTTTGTCAAAAAATATGAGTTTTACTCAAGAGTAAAGTACCTTTATTCTTTATACGACTGATAAAATTTGATATTTGATGGTTGTATTTTAGGTTTTAGACCATGCTCGATTTTTTATAAAGAACAACTTTTTTTCCTAAAATTAGTAATAAAAAAGATTTTCATATGCCGCCAACTGTCTACGTAAATATATCAAATAATGGATGTACACTGGATATGTTAAACATCTATAGGATCTATCCATTGGTTACTTATGAACCTCTACTAAAGGTACCTATTAGATATTTTGCTGGATATCCATAGAATATCTTCTATATCCTGGATATAGACGGACATTTGGATATCCATATTAGATCCAGTAAATATCTATGATATCCTGTGGATATAATTGGATATCCACAAAAGATATTCTGTGAGTATCTCTGGGATTTCGTGTATTGTCTGGGAGATACCCATTAGATATTTTGCTGGATATCCATAGGATATCTTCTATATCCTGGACATAGACGGACATTTGGATATCCATATTAGATCCACGGGATATTTATGATATCCTGTGGATATATTGGATATCCACAAAAGATATTGTGTGGATATCTCTGGGATTTGGTGTGTTGTCTGGGAGGAAGATTACAAAATTTTTTTTTTAAATAACTAAAAAAAATAAGTTTTTTTTTTTAAATTGTTTGTATTCGTCCCCCTGTTTTATTAAATTTTGACTGCACCCGAAGATGGAAAAGTTTTCCGAAACATATGTAATGCTGTGCTAAACAATAGAAAATAAAAACTACCGAATAAACCAAGGACATTTTTATTTATTTTAATATTTAAGAATATCAGCAAAATAACAAAGTTAAAAGTATTTCAAATACTTTCTAATCAAAAATATTGTACAGGTACATATTTCTTATAGAGCTTGATTTTTGCTAAAAATTTCAAATTGATATTTTTTTTTGTTTTTGAGTTAGGATTATTTTAAATATTTCAATCCCCCCTTAACCCCTCGTTTTTATTCAGATTCTTTTCAGAATCAATAGGCTTCATCTTATAAAGCTTGATTTTTCCTGAAGATTTCAATTTGATATCGTTTTTTGTTTCTTGTGTGCGTGCGTGCGTGTGTGTGCGTGTGTGTGTGGGTGTGTGGGTGCGTGTGTGGGTGCGTGTGTGGGTGCGTGGGTGTGTGTGTGTGTGTGTGTGTGTGTGTGTGTGTGTGTGTGTGTGTGTGTGTGTGTGTGTGTGTGTGTGTGTGTGTGTGTGTGTGTGTGTGTGTGTGTGTGTGTGTGTGTGTGTGTGTGTGTGTGTGTGTGTGTGTGTGTGTATGTGTGTGTGTGTGTGTTGGGTGGGGGTTGGCATCGGATTCGAAGTCCATTTGTTTCTTAGTTAGGATTTTGTTCAATATTTTAACCCCCTTATCGCCTCATTTTTATTTTTTATAGATTTTTTTCAGAATCAATAGTCTTTATTCCCTTGTAGAGCTTGTTTTACTAAACATTTCATATTGTTATCGCTTTTTACTTTTCATATGTTTTTTTTTTAAATTTCAACGCCTTTAAACACCCTACTACCTCCCATTTTTAATAAAATCATTTTCAAAATTAAAGTGCTATTTTCCCTCTTATAGAGCTAGATTTTTGCTAAAAGTTTCAAGTTGATATCATTTTTAATTTTTGAGTTAGGATTTTAATATTTCAACCCCCCTTAACCCCAATTTTTATTTAGATTTTTTCAAAATTAATAGGCTTCGTCCACTTATAGGTAAGTATTATGCCAGTTATATATTGAACGGCACTTTTAATAATAAAATTGTCTTCATAAAGGGTTCATCATACTTTTTTAATTGTGTATATAATTGGTTTAAATACATATCTTTTTCAAATAACTTTTATTCAAAAAACTCAAACTTTTATTTAGGTCTTTTTTATATGAATCATGCGCCAGATGTTATTGTAAGTCGTCTGGTTGATTTTAATAGTATAATTTCAATAGATTATCCTCGCGAGCGTGTCCTATTCCAAGGACTTCTATTAATCTAACTTAGCGGGCTATAGGGATACATATAATTAGCGGGAACATCGTGGCGGACATGTAGGATGACTGATACGAGTAGATACGAGTAGACATGAAGTGCGTTTGTATTGAAGTAAATGGGCCGTATTTGATACATTTTGGAATAAATAAATGTAAGTTCCTTATTATTATTATTTTTTTTTTTTTTGAAAAATTGTTTTTTTCAATGCCCTTTTAAAAAAAGGATTCACCATGCACACTTACAAATATGTCCGACAGAACTTGCATAAGTATCCCACCGGAACTACGAGTACCTGCGGAAGAAGCTACCTAAAGCATGATTCCAGAAAAAAGCAGGAACATATACTAAAACACTTACGAAGCATATAAAGTGACATCTGCAGGAAAGTTAAGTAAACAAGTCGCTTCCAGACTGTTTTAAAGGATTCAAATCTACAGATTACTATCCGATTGTGAATAAAAGTTTTTTGCAGCTGCTCATTTGAATTATATGAAAAAGTTCTAATTTTGGTTTGTATTCTGGCCTAACAACGACGTTTTTTTGGCGCTTTCGAATAAAAAGTACTTACTATTATCTCGGTTAGGAGGAATATTTTATGTACTTGTTTTAAATTAAATCGTCATATTTTGGGTCAAGGATTCTTCAGTTATGATATGGACAATTATTTATCTAATATCCATTATAATAAGACGGTTGATATATTCGTGTATATTTAAATAAATAATTGTCAAAAAATGTCTTGGACAGACGCTGCGATACCACGTGTCGCACTTTATAAGAAACTGCATTTTCTAATATAAAAATATAAAAGTAAACTTACCTGCGTTCCAAAAAAAATAATGAGTTTTTATTGGTAACAATTTTTTGTTAATTTGTAAATATTTAAAACCCATTGTTACACTTTTGCAAAATCTCAAAATACATTTACAAATATAATATATAAATAACGGGCCTTTAAAAAAATAACTAAATTCTGGTTTGTCTTCACTCACTGTTAGTTGTGACTTATGATAAACTGATAACACCAAACTAGTTCTTAACTAAATAATTAATAATTATACCCGAGTCAATAAGTAAACAATAAAAGGACATATTAAAACAATGTATAGTGCAAATCGATTCTAGCGTTAAAATGTTTCAAGAAACAAAAAATACATGGCGGTCGTCCACAAAAGAGTCGAAAGATTGCGATCGCTTCACTTTTTGACGCGTAACCATGGTCGGAACATTAATATTATTTTCAAAAATTCTCAAAATGATTATTAGATAATTAATCCACTACTTGTTTTTCTTCTCGGCCATTTTTTAATTAGATAATTTAATAAGAAAAGGGCTAGAAAACAAAAAAAAAACCCTAAACCTAACTTAAATAGTTACAAATCACCAAAAGAACACTGTTTAAATTAGCGCGCGTATAGACATAATCATTATATACAGTGTGACAATTTAAAAACTTACAATGGGCTATATCTCACAAACGAAAGGTATAAAAAAATGCTTAATACCGTTTCTAAGATAGGAAGGGGGAACTAAAATGACATAACAGAGAACTCACAAATTCGTAGTTCAACAAAAACTTCATTAAATGTTCCTTTTAAGGCAAGGTTTCACAATTATTGATCCACTCTGTATGATTATTATTTATACCATTGGATAGCATTTTTATAGGTTTTTCAATGATGTATCACAAGTAGGGGTTTACTATTTAAACTTTTTTAGTTGGGATAGGTGGGGCCTAGGGGGTTGATGGAGGTGAGTTCTCTTTTATGTCATTTTAGATTCCTCATCCCATCCTAGAAATGATTTTAAGCATTTTTTGATATCATCTATAGTTTGTGAGATGTAGCCCATTGTAAGTTTTTAAATTGTCAACCCGTATATCCGACATAGTTGCATCCATGTCCTTCGGCAATTTTCAGAAACATCTCTACTTTATGGTAAAAAATACCTAATCTGAGCTATATTTTCTTAAACAATTTACTATAACTACTCTGACTGAGTAACATGGACGCCCCCAGAAAAATATCATTAAAAACGAAAGAAAAACATTATTTTCAATACCTCTCCCATTTTCTCAAAAATTAAATTTTACAGTGGATTTAAATTAATTTGATTAATCTGCAGCCCGGACAAGATGCTTTATTTTCCGTCCCTTCCCCGTAGAATTTCTTTTTGAATGCATTTGATGAAATCGCTGTGCTGTGGAAAGAGCCTCAGTGAAGTAGTGAAATTGTTGAACCCAAAATATAACAGTAAGAGGTAAGTAGATGTAGATACCCTTATTTTTAAGAGGTATTTGTATTTATATTATTAAAAACATAATTTGTTTTATAAACATTATAAAATAAGGAAATATAGTATATATATATATATATATATATATATATATATATATATATATATATATATATATATATATATATATATATATATATATATATATATATATATAAATAACTACTTATTTACGTTACGTAGGCATGTTTATAGTCTATAGAAAAAAGGAGCGCAGTAATTTAATTTGTAGAACGTAGTGAACAGGTTCAAGAGGTAGACATTTTATTTATATACCTCATCCTTCAATGCTTATTTGTAGATAAATGAAAATTATAATACATCTGATCGGCCTAATAAAAGTTTTCGTTTAGATTTAACCATGTTTCCATGGTTTTTACTGTAATAAACTTAGACTGAGTATAAAGAGAGGGCCCGTAACGTCGCCGAAAAATCGTGTTCCATTTTTACACCAGAGGCGTAACATGTTAGAAATAAAACAATGAACTTTTATTTATGTAATTAGTACTTTATTGATCTTTTTAGGTATAAAGCAAGTTCAAAGCCTAAAAATTAAAATAGGTACAATAAATAAAACACAATAAAAATATATATACAAGGTGAGTCACGCTCAACGGGACGGAGCCTGGTGGGTAAATTACAAACGATATTAAAAAATCCTTTGGCACAAATATACAACTTAACAGTGGCTGCAAATTAAAATTAAGTTTCATATATACCGGGTGTCAGAAACCAGAATACCAATATAAAGTTATATTTTTTTAATGGGATAGGTACCCTATATTTTCTTTTAATTTTAAGAATACCAATATAAAGTTATATTTTTTTAATGGGATAGGTACCCTATATTATCTTTTAATTTTAAGTTCTACTCTTAAAAATCATCTTAATTTAATAAAGATTTCTCAATCCCATCTTTGATAATTTCCGATTTATTTGACATTTTTTGAAAATGTACTACTGTCGAAATTCATTAAATACTCTTGAATACAAAATAATTAATTAACGAATTTTTGGCAGTTCCTTACAAAATGTTTTAACTTTTTATCAGAATCATTAAAGTTTTATTTCAGTAAAATGTTTTATTTAAATACTGCGTTAATTTAAATAGAAAACCCTATATTTTATGGTACCAATATGAAGGAAATTTAATTTTTTGTGAAATTGACGAACTCGCCGCTGCGCGGCTTCGTGCGTAAACTTTTTCACTTCGTGTATAATGGGTTACTTACAACTCTTGTTACGTAATTATACTATTAAAATTTACAATAAATGTTCAAAATGTCCATTATTGTCAATGCATATTTTGATTTGATTCTCAAATTTATTATTTACATTACTTAAAATCTCTAAATTAATAATAGCAAACGCATCACGAATGTGTGTTTTCATATCTTACGCGGTGGTCGTCTGAGTTTGATAAACTACATATTTAACATATCCCCATAGGAAAAAAATCGTCCTATTCATGTTTAGGAAACTTTTGGTTTAAATATGTCCTGACATTATGCGAAAAATGGGAGAGGGCACCATCTAGCTTCAGCCACATTTTTCGTCTAATATCCAGAAAAAGGTTCCAGAAATCTTTCTTCAAAAATTTTATAAAATTCCTACCATTTAAATGGCCATCAAAAAAATAGGGCCTTCCTATCATTCCACCATAAACGTATAACGACCATCGGTTTTGTCACTCTACAGTTTGAAATTCATGTTTATTTTCGGTGCTGTAATAAGGAAAATTATGTCTATTCACAAATCCTTTATTATGGAAAGTAGATTCATCAGTAAATAGTATTTGATAAAAGTTAATATTTAGAATTGTACGACACGCCACTGTTAAAAAGTTGCTGGTTTGGCAATTTTAATATCATAAATTGCTTAAAAATTATTGAAAAGCATAAAATTAACATTTATTATTCTGGAGTGAGAAATACCCTTTCGTATAATAACCAAATAAAATGAAAAATACAAAAAAATATATAAAGTATAAATGACTGATGTTTATTATTTACCTGTGAAACGTAAGAGCTGGTTATTTCTTGTCGTTTCGACTTTTACACTGATATGCAATACAATAAATCATATTATAACAAACTAATTATTAAATGTCGTTTAATTCAAAAATCACAAATAAACCCACGAGTAAAAAGCTGTGGTGTCGCCGAAATGCTTAACACCAAAATAAGGGCGACCAGTCGATAATGGATACTACGAGTGCTTGATATACTTGTTACGCGTCCTCTCTTTTTCCTTGTCTAATGTACCCCTATCACGCTAATTCGTCTTTAGCCTGACGGCACTGCAACCCGCTGCTTATTGTACCACCATTTGAAGGTCCTACTACTTTCTCATTCACCAATTCACTTCCTCATTTATTCCACGTCCACGTCCAAGGCCCAATGGTAAATCAACCACGATATGACCGGAGAGATCACTGTTTAACTATTGCGAGATTGTATCTGTACACTAATCTCACGGCTAGCCTCTCCGGCTACATACCTACTAATTAAAAGCGCTGAAATATTGAGAATTGTTCGTTTTCAAATAATATATGATAATGCAGTGACGTCCTAAATAAGACACAATAAAAACAAATTGCATTTTATTTAACGAAAGCTGTGAATTACATTAGTTAGAAACCACAAAACCTAACCAGTGATCCATAAAAAATGTTTCTAAAGTAGGATATGACCGACAAAGATAGAAATACGATTCATGTTCGTGATGATAACTATACAAGTAACACAGGAAGCTATCAAGAAGCTTGTAAGTGGATTTAGATGCTAATAGCCCAGATAGCACAGGACGTTCATTACATATCCATTTATCGTCTGTACGTCCAGGACCAATTATGGACATTCTAAGTATGTCCAGTTTAGTAAATCCTCGGGAAGTCCAGAAATAGATATCCGTAGAACGTCAATTCTACGTGCTTTATTATATTTCCACGGATTCACATTCGCATTGTATTATTATTTAGTAATATTATATAAAGAACATTATATAATGAGATAATATAATACTTATTAAAGGTTGCATTGTCCAATATCCAAATAAATGAAGGCCAAATAGACAAAACGCGAAGAAGGTTCATTGCAAGAAAGTGTTCACAAGAGACATTTGCATAGATATGGGAGGAGGGGAGATAGGAACTGTCATTTCAGAAAACGTTTACACAAGGAGAACCTGCCGGGGAGGCGGAGAGTCTGCGCAGTTGAGTGTTCCCAGGATTGTACTCAGTTTTTTTTATTAATTCAATAAAAATATACATATAATTAAATGTAAATTACGAATACTTTTTTAATAAGAGGAATACATAATTAAACAAGATTGTGTATTAGTTGAGATAATTTAAGGTAATGTTGTAGTTGAAGGGTCTAGAAATGCGCATATTCACACCACTCTGCACTGACGTCTAGAATTTGAATTTGCTCAAGCCACGTTGCCAAATCTCCACTTTCATTTTAGCTTGCTTTATTTCATAGTTTATTATTTAGACAAATTGTAACCTCTGTAAATTAAAATGTATGATAAATAAATATAAAGATTAATATTATATTTTGAAATAACAATTCTGTTTTGTTTTATAAGAAAGTTT